TTTTGTACTCTGTGAAGATTTAATTTCCTTGTTTACCATATCTGAGTAATTGAAATTTCTCATCGTTGAACTTCATATTTTTTTTTCTGCAGCCCACTAAAAGATTTGGTTGATGTCCGCTGGAGCCTTGCAGTGTCTGCAATGGAAGACACGTCATGCAGATTCGGGTGTCATCTCCCAAAGGAAGACAGGGTGCTGTGCTGACATCCTTGTCTATGTCGGATATGAGGATGAGGAACAAGAGGGGAGCTAGTACTGTCCCTTGTGGAACAGAAGTTTTTCCCACCGTAGCTGCCTCGGACTACTCCTGTGTTCTGTTAGTGAGGAAATTATAGATCCATCGACCGACTTTTCCTGTTATTCCTTTAGCACGCATTTTGTGCGCTATTACGCCATGGTCACACTTGTCGAAGGCTTTTGCAAAGTCTGTATATATTAACATCTGCATTCTTTTTGTCTTCTAGTGCATTTAGGCCCTTGTCGTAGTGATCCAATAGTTGAGACGGGACAGGAGCGACCTGTTCTAAACCCATGTTGCCCTGGGTTGTGTAACTGATGGGTTTCTAGATGGGTGGTGATCTTGCTTCTTAGGACCCTTTCAAAGATTTTTATGATATGGGATGTTAGTGCTATTGGTCTGTAGTTCTTTGCTATTGCTTTACTGCCCCCTTTGTGGAGTGGGGCTATGTCTGTTGTTTTTAGTAACTGAGGGACAACCCCCGTGTCCATGCTCCCTCTCCATAGGATGGAAAAGGCTCATGATAGGGGCTTCTTGCAGTTCTTGATGAACACAGAGTTCCATGAGTCTGGCCCTGGGGCAGAGTGCATGGGCATGTCATTTATCGCCTGTTCGAAGTCATTTGGCGTCAGGATAACATCGGATAGGCTTGTGTTAATCAAATGTGCATTGAGTTTTTGCATAGTGTGAGATGGACACGAGGAACATCAAAGAGTGATCTGTGCCTTGTGTTATGGTCATGTGTTCTGTTGAGGTTGGCAAGGAGATGTTTGAGGGGAGGGTTAATATCAGAGTTAAGTGTTCTATGTATGTAATAGGTGCAGTAATAAGTATGGATGTTTTGTATGGTGAGTAGGTTTAGTGTATTGAATATTGGTGGAGTTTGCTGCCTGTAGTGAGAATTTGTTATCATTCTAACTGCAGCCTTTTGTTGGGTAATTAGTGGTCTGAGATGGTTAATTGTTGTTGAGGCCCCATGCACAAATTCCATATGTGAGATAGGGGTAAATAAGAGAGTGATATAGGGCCAGGAGGGCTGACTGTGGAGCATAGTAACCGTATCTCTCGATAGTATGCCTACAGTCTTGGAATTTTTTTTAGAAATTTGTTGTATATGTGTATGAAATTTGAGTCTATTATCAAGGTGGATTCCTAAGAATTTTCCCTGTTAGCTTTGTGATAGGTGATCCGTTTTATCATTATGTTAAGAGGGACATCTGTAGCTCTGTTACCAAACTGAATGAAGTAGGTTTTGTCAATGTTTAGTGTAAGTTTGTTAGTCCTCATCCAGGTAGATATTTTCTGTAATTCGGTATTTACAGTATTGGCTAGCGTGACTGGGCTCGGTGAGAGAAAGACGTATGTAGTGTCATCTGCAAATAGTGTGGGTTTGAGTAATTGCGAAGCATTTGGAAGGTCATTTATGTATAGGAGAAAGAGAAGAGGGCCAAGGACACTTCCCTGTGGGACACCAACTGTAATTGGTTGTGCAGAAGAGTTTGCCCCATTTGCGTACACATATTGGCTTCTGTTGCTGAGGTATGACTTGAGGTAGTTGAGGGAGTGCCCTCTTATACCATAGTGTGACAATTTTACGTGGAGCAAGTCATGGTCAACTGTATCAAAAGCTTTACGTAAGTCAATGAAGATCCCCAGTGGGACTTCTTTTTTCTCTATTGCAGTGTATATATGTTCTAGCATGTGTTATAATAGCATCATTAGTATTTTTATTAGGCCTGAATCCAAATTGGCAGGGGTTTGAGTATGTTTTGGGAGATAAGGTAGGAGTAGATTCGTTTATGAATTAATTTTTCGAAGATTTTTGAGAGAGGGTGTAAGTTGGATATTGGCCTATAGTTATTCAACTCTGTTTGGTCTCCTCCTTTGTGGATCGGGGTGACCCTTGCTATTTTGAGTACTGTAGGGAAGGTGGAGGATTCAATGGATTTGTTAAAGAGTGTTGCAATGATTGGTGATAACACTTGTGACACTTTTTTGTATATAAAGGGTGGTAAGGTATTTAAATCTCCTGCCTTGTTTTTTAGTGCGTTGATAATAAGGGAGACTTCGTATGGGTTAGTCGGAGCTAGGAACAGTGTGTTCGGGTAGTTGCCGGTGAGGTAGTCATTTGGTGGGGTATCTGAGCTTGGGATTTTATCGGCAAGGTTTGTCCTATAGTGGAGAAGAAATCATTGAGTCTGTTTGCTGTTTCTGTTGGTGGGAGTTGGGGTTCATCTGATTTTGCTAATTTTGTTTCGCTATTTCGTGATATCTTTTTTGTTCCCAGAATTTCTGATAGGGTTTTCCAGGTCTTTTTTTATATCACCTCGTAAGTTGGATAATCTGTTCTCATAATACAATTTTTTTTTGCCCTTCTTATCAGGCTGGTTAGGATTGACGAGTAACGTTTTGCTTGGTCTCTGGTTATGTGACCCATTCTGTACTGTTTTTCATATTGGTGTTTTGTATTTATGGATTTGAGAATGCTGGGTGTTAGCCAGGGACTGTTCAGTCTCTTAGCTGTCATCTGTTTAGTTTTTTTAGGGCAGTGCTTGTTATAGAGGTATTGGGTCTTTTTTAGAAAATTATTAAAACATTCGTCAATATCTGTATAGATTTCTAGCTCAGTGTGCCAGTCAATGTTTGCTACTGCTGTTGTGAAGTTATTAATGGCTGCCTCATTGTGAAGTCTGAAGGTGACTTTAGTAGTGTCTTGGGGTAGTTTACCAAGAGTTGTTATGAGGAAAGTAGGGTAGTGGTCTGTGGTATTATCTGTAATTATGCCTGATTTTAAAGGGGATATGGTGTTGGTCCAGATGTGGTCAAGTAGGGAAACACTAGTCTCTGTAACTCTTGTAGGTTTTGTTACTGTTGGTAGCAACATACAGTTACTCATTGTGTTTGTGAATTCAGTAACGTGTGGGTACTGGTCTTGCAGGAGATTTATATTGAAGTCACCTGAGAGTAGTAAGTGATCTTTGTTCATGCGTGCATCAGTTATCATACTTCCTAGGTTTTGACTAAATTGGCTAATGTTTGACTGTGGAACTCTGTAGATGTTTATCAATGTGAGAGGTTTTTGTAGGTATTTGGATTTGAATTTGGCTATTATATATTCCTCATGTTCATCCCTTGTGCAAGTATTAGTGATACATTCTAGTTGGTCTGAGTAGTATATGGCTGTGCCACCCCCTTGTTGGTCTGGCCTACAGTTGTGTATGGCTGTGTAACCAGGAATGGTATAGACATCTGTACTATCAGGCTTTAGCCAGGTTTCAGTTAGTGTAATGATGGACATATTGGCATGTAAGGAATTTAGTAATGCTATGAGGTCATCGTAATGCTTGCTTAAAGATCTGATATTGTAGTTAAAGATAGTTATGTTGTTGTTGGCACTGATAAGTGCTCAGTGCAAGACTGTATACCTTGTACATGTACTTGTAGAAATAAAGATATTATTATTATTATTATTATTATTATTATTATTATTATCCAAGGCTGTCGCCAGTACAAAGAAACGCTGAGAGCACTATAGCTGTGGCAGGTTTTCATCCCAGGTATGGCGCTAATGTTAAAATTGATCGATTATGCCGCAACACTACTTGCTGTTGTGTCAGACTGGAAGCTTGGAGGGCTGAATAAACTGCAGAACGAAGCAATGAGGATAATCCTTGGATGCGCTTGGTATACCAAAATTCTAAATGTGCGGAAAGAACTTGATATTCCAAGCATCAGAGATCGTGCAAGAAATGTCCTCACTGGGGTCGACATGCTCAGGCAAGCCCATTTAAACCCCTGCACAGAAGTCCTCCAAACCTTCCTCAGCACTCGTGAACACTCTTCCAGATGGATTATGAAAACTGAAACTTACCACCGAGTGAACCAGGTACATGATCTATGTCAAGTAAGACAACAGCGACACTCCTGCTACATGGAAAATTACCCCAATCCAAACCACTATTTTTTTTTACCCCAAAAACTTATTAAATCCCACCCAAAGCTTCGCCTTGAAGCCAAGTAGGATACCATAAGCTGTATTGATGCCTTAGTCACTCAGCACACTTTTCCACAAATTATTAATGTTAATGGTTGTGTTCAGCAATCCAGTGGTGCAGCTGGCAGTGTTAGTGTTGTTATGGCTCATATAATAGAACTTGGAACACACATCAATAACTGCGCCTCTAACCTTCAATCTGAACTGTTTGTTATATTCCTTTCTCTCAAATACGTCCATAACTCTGGTTTCAATCAAATTTTTATTGTAGGTTAATTATTTCCTTAAGTTTCTCTCCTTGCGCTTTGATAAAGCCAACTGTAAGATAAACTTAGTTAATTACAGATAACATAATACTGCACTTGCATGTCTGTCCACAGTTCCTGGTGTAATGTTACAATATGTTATAGATCAAGGCTGCCTCCAAACACTCTAACTTATTTTTTAAAAAAATAAAAACAGCTATCGCTGGAGTTACTTTTACGATGTAAGTAATTAAGTAAATAAGTTTATTTAGGCACAGGTACACAAGTACAATTATCATAGTGTAAATTACCCATGATAACCAAAAAAAAAAGTCAACGTGACTTATTTCAGTTGGTTATTATTAAAAAAATAATATGAAAGTAATTGCTTTCAAATTTAGAGACAAAATGAATTACGACGTTTGTGGTAAATTAAGAAATAATTAAACAGGTTAAAGATACGTGTATTATTATTATTATTAGCGAGGTATGGAGGTGTAGTGAGAAGATCAGCTGATGAGTGTGTTGGTAGTGGTGGTAACAGCAGGTGAACACTGCTGATGATTATTATCTTGTGTCTCCTCTTTAACATCCTGATAAGATAACAGGACTTAGTTCATCACAGGAGTGAAGTACGGACATTAAAGCAGCCACGTTGGAAGTGGTTAGTGGAGTTGTGGAGGGCGGCCTTCAGCTCTCTTTAATAACTTATAAGTTGGTATTATGTATGTATTTATCAGTGGTAATCCAGGGTAGGAGGTGGTGGGCACGTATTACCACAGTGGTAATCCAGGGTAGGAGGTGGTGGGCACGTATTACCTCACTGGCACTGGCACTGACACCTCTACTGTGGCCCTCTACTGTGACCGTGTTGGAGTACTACTGTGGCACTGAATGTCGTAGTTCTGTACTGTGGCCTCTGAGGACTTGTGTGGCCTTGTTAGTCCCGTACTGTGGCCTCTGATGGCCACATTGTGACAGTGCCATATTGTGGCCTCTGATGGCCATACTGATAGTGCCAGTCCCGTACTGTGGCCTTGAATGACTAGTGACCTTATTAGACCCGTATTGTGGCCTCTGATGGCCACACACAGTGTCAGTCCTGTACTGTGGCCTCTGATGGCCACACACTGTCAGTCCTGTACTGTGGCCTCTGATGGCCACACACAGTGTCAGTGTGTGGCCTCTGATGGCCACACACTGTCAGTCCTGTACTGTGGCCTCTGATGGCCACACACAGTGTCAGTTGTAGTGGCCTCTGATGGCCCCCACACAGTGTCAGTCCTGTACTGTGGCCTCTGATGGCCACACACAGTGTCAGTCCTGTACTGTGGCCTCTGATGGCCACACACAGTGTCAGTCCTGTACTGTGGCCTCTGATGGCCACACAGTGTCAGTCCTGTACTGTGGCCTCTGATGGTCACACTGACAGTGCCAGTCCTGTACTATGAACTTGAATGACTACATTAACCTTGTTAGTCCCGTATTGTGGCATTAATGGTCACACTGACTGTCTCTACCATACTGCCCTCATAGGGTACATAGTGATCTTTAATACTGGTGCTGGCCACAGCTAGTGTAGTTTGTGACTTGCTAAGTGAAGTACTAGTATACTTGATCGTCACCTAAACCTTGTATTGAGCTGCTGAGAATATATAAATTTTGTTTTAAAAGAAAATTTTCACATACATATAATGTGTTTTGTAGTGATTTTGTTAGTGTTATTTCCTTATTATTTTATTTGTTTCTTGGTAGTGTTTTCAGGTTAGTGGTTATATAGTGTATTTGGCAAACCAAATATATACTGCACTTTCCTAATGGCATTGGCAAATATTTTGTTAAATCTATGGATGTTCATGTAAATATGTCCTTTTACTTTAAATCTGATTTCGTTTAAGTGTCTTGCTATTTTTTAAAATGATTACATTTAATATTTTAGTTACATGCATTAGCGACAAATAATAACCAAGGTATGTGGGATATTAACCCATCATTTCCTTGTATACCTTTGCAGTATTAGTAAGTTTATTTAGGTACACATATATACAGTTATGCAAATTTAGGCGACTACAATTATCATACATAGTGATGTGTAAATTACATAGGGTAGCCCAAAAAAGGCAGACCAAGTGACATTTCCATTGAGGTCCTTGTAATTGTATGTGGTAATGTGTTTGGTATATATTTTTGGTAGAATTACCAACTATGTAATATTGTTTGTAACGGCTTGACAAAGCTCCTGGAGAGCGAAACATTGCCACAATAAAATGTCACATTAATTGTACTTAAGTCCTTTTACTTTGTGTAATGTGTTGGTGTTCAGCAGTCTGACTTTTCAAGTTTCCAGCATTAGAGTTATTCAGGCTACAAGTTGCTTACCAATAATTTTATAAAATTTGTATGTGGGAGAACCTCGTCAGTAGAAAAAATGTTGACTTCTGACTGCTAGACTTGCAAACATTCGTGAGATTACTTATATTCGTGTTCAGTTGCTCTCTGGTGTGAACTGTGCTTAGTGTAATTTTTATTCAAAAAAATATTGGTAGGCACTTTCTTAAATTTTCATCAATATCACTGTATCATTGTAATTTCTTGGTGTAATAAACCTATAATGATTTAAGAAATTGATAAATCATTGTAATAAGTATAAGCAAACTATCCATCAACCAACCATGAGACCCTCATGTAATAATTTAAGTTATTGTTTTAAGTTATCTTCTGGTTATACATCAACTTTACATATCTTTGGTAAGGCCTCATTTTGACTGTTGCTCAGCTCTGATCTTCATATTACAGAATGGACATAAATGCACCGGAAACTATACAGAGAAGGATGACTATGTTGATCCCAGTACATGTATTGGAATTTTTCAGTGGAGTTGTGCTGAAATCTGAATTTTCAATTCTGGAGAGATATTGATTTAGGGGGAGGATGTGACTGAAATATACAAATAGAAACCAGGAATAAATAGAGTATATAAATAACATGCTGAAAGTATCTAACCAAAACCGTACTTAAAGCAGTGGTGTAAAGTTGGAAACATTTAGATTTGGAAAGAACATAGGAAAGTGCTAGTTTGGCAGTAATATTTTACATGAGTGGAACAAACTCCCAGGCACTGTCACTGAAACAAGAGCTAATATCATATATAGGCCAGACAAGTATTTGAATGGATGTGGTTGGGTGTGTTGGACCTGCCTAGCATTTGAAAATAGACCTACTTCAGTCTTTCTTCATTGGCAATTCTTTGCCATTGTATTATTGCATAATGCTTATTTGATTAACAATGTTTGCCCTGCCACCATTACACCAAAGCCTCAGTTTAATGTACCTTGATTTAGCTGACTTCTGGAAAAAGATACAAAATCCACAGTTGTTAGATGTAATTTGAGGGCTCATTCGTATTCTCTATATATGTAACTATTTATACTTTTGAGTTTAATTACATGAACGTGGATTAATTAACATTCTTGTAAAGTAACCCGCCTTAGCCTAAGATTACTAAACTTTTAGGCAGTGATTGGTTGGGAGCGTGTAGTAGTGTATAGTATATCATTCAGTAAAATATTCAAAACTGTTTCTCTGGATTGTGGCCTTACAGCTTGTGAAACCATTAGACCTTAAATTACTAATTTTGTTGTAATATGTGCTTCATGGCTGGAGCTGTATGAACCCTAGTCCCAGATGTCTCGTTTATTCATGATCCCCTGTGGTATGTTATTTGGTTGAAACTCATAAGTGAACACAGTTAAGGCTAATTTGTAATTAGTTACATTGGGGTTTCATTTAGATCCTCGTATTGTGACAAATAGCTGGATTCATGGATCATCGTTGTATTTGTGTTAATTGTGTTATCTTATTTCATCACTTGAGATTTGTCTAGTCTTAGTTTGAGTTACTTCCATTGTAAAAGAATTAAAGAATTTATTGATCATGTATGTACATATTTGACACAATCAGCATCTACATGGATACAGTACTAGTACTACAATTAGTTAGTAGTCTGCTTGTCTACAAATTTAATAAAGGTCTGGGATTACAACTTTTGTATGTTCTAAGAAAGCTTCTTGTTACGCAAAGCATTTTGGACATAAAAACTAGTAATAATGACTACTTTTTGTCTTAAAAATGCTTTTCACTATTTCAGTCTCGAATACAACATTATCGTCATCCTAGGGTAAAATGGGCTCGATTCCTCCTGAACCAACAAAAGCAGAAATTGACCTGCTTCGTAGTTCTGTAGTGCAGAAGATTGATTCTGATGGTGTGATTTATGACCCCCAAGATGTGAAGAGAATAAAAACAGATGACAAATACATCAGACGATTTTTGATGCATCATGACAATGATCAGAAATTGGCTTTGGAGATGGTGATTGACACACTTAAGTGGAGATTTGAAAATCACTGCAATGGTAATTACAGTACTGTTCTTTTTCTGTTATTGAAATTCCATGTTATTTTTTAAATTAACCTTCTGACTGTTTCGGTCGTGTATATACGTCTTATGAACCAGTGTTTTTGACATATTTATACTCCAAAATTCTAGCGGCTTCAAATCAAGCGGGAGAAAGCTGGTAGGCCCACATGTGAGAGAATGGATGTGTGTGGACAGTGTGCACAGTACAAAAAATATCCTGCAGCACGCAGTGCATAATGAGGAAAAAAAAAATCTGACCGTGTTTTTGGATTAAAATACCAACTTTGAGGTGTATTTTTGTATAGTATTTATGGTTGTATTCTCGTTTTCTTGATCTCATTTGATAGAATGGAAGATATATTACAGAAATGTTTGATTTTTGCCGATGTTCAAGAGTAAACATATGACGTAATTGTCCAATAGGTGTCCAGTTAGCCATTCTAATATGTGGTCTTGAATGCATTGATATTACTTATACAATTATTACAATAATGAAGTAGTCTGCATAACAGTAAATCTTCTGTTTTTTGTGTGAATAAAAATTCAAAATAGAAAGCAAGGGGGGGCCTGGAGATGTGACTGATGAACAAAGAAAATGTTATTTTTAGTGCCAGAAATGTCTGCATTGTTCATTCTGAACCCTATTTTAAAATTGGCATCTGTTTTTCTTTGCATAAAATTGGTCAAATTGCCAATTTCTGACCACTTTATTGGATAGTTGAAATCGGTAAGTGGGCGGTTTCTTGTACTTGCTCGATAGAACAAATGATCCTCTAAAGAAATAGCTATGAGTTTGGTCGACTGGAACAATGGAATTGGCCGAAAATAGGGCTTAAAGTGGGCAAAATCGCCAATACGTAAACATTGCTGAGATTAACTTTGGAAGAATGTAATTCTATAAGATTTCCATCAAATTTCATACTTTTGGTGTCGTTTACATCGGGAAAAGATTCTCTATCATTTCGTAAGTTTTTTTGCAACAGAGATAGACTTTAGGATTTGGGGTCGCGACAGTCAACGGGTTAATATCACTGGGTAACTGTCTAAACCTTTTCCCCAGGTTGTTTCCTTATATTTCATATAAAGTACACATATATTCAATTCAATTCAAGTTTATTCTCTATAAGGGTTACAATGTGGGGTTTACAGGTTTTGGGTATTGTGTGGTTTACATGTTATAAAATACTAATTACAGAGGGGGCCACTAAGACACCTAGCCTGGCTAGGCATTTCAAGCAGACTTAGATTAATTCTTAACATTAAATCTTTACAGATTATGGTATTAAAGCTAAGTGACTACATCATAATTTGTGAGTTTAGCAATGTGAATGCTTTTGTTTTGGCACAATACAAAGTGTCTATATTGGAGTATCATAGGCAAACTTAGGACTAGTTAGGATTTATTATTTTAAGATTAAGATTAGTATTTCTGGGTTTAGTCAGTGGGTGAGTCAGTGTAATTGTAAACCACCAGGTGGTTAACATGTAGTTAGTTGTCGGGGTGGATCAGGGAGATAAGATGTTTTCTAACTGTAGTTTTGAAAGTGATGAATGTGTCTGCAGTTCTAGAGTTTTCAGGTAGGGTGTTCCAGATTTTAAGTCCTTTGAAATACAGTGGACCCTCACCTAACGATATTAATTGGTACCTGAGAATGAATATCGTTAGGCAAATTTTTTAGCGTTAGCCGAGGCAAAATGTTAGCGTTTTAAAATGTATTGTTAGGCGAATTTAACGTTATGCGGTGCGTTCGTTAGGCGAGGGTCCACTGTACATTGAATTTTTGTGAAGGTTTAGTCGAACATGGGGAATGTCATAGAGATGTTTGTGTCTGGTGTTATGCCTGTGGATCCTGTCACAACTATCAAGAAAGCATTTTAGGTCAAGGTTAATATTGGAATTTAAGGTCATGTAGATATAGATTGCACAGTAGTAAGTGTGGATGTTCTGAACAGGGAGTAAGTTTAGATCTATAAAGAGTGGGGGGGGGTGTGTTGCCAGGGATGGGATTTAGTGATTATTCTTACTGCGGCTTTTTGTTGGGTTATTATTGGCTTTGTGTTGCTGCAGTTGAACCCCAAGCACAGATAGCATAGGTGAGGTATGGATATATAAGTGAATGGTATAGTGTGAGAAGGGCAGTTTGTGGCACGTAGTATCGTATCTTGGAGAGGATCCCCGCCGTTTTGGATACTTTTTTTGTTGTGTGTTGGATATGGGTGCTGAAATTTAGGTTGTTGTTGAGGTATAGGCCAAGGAATTTGCCCTCATTATGTCTGGCAATTAGTGTTGTGCAACACCTGCTCTGCTACCAAATATAATATAGTAGGTTTTGCCAGTGTTAAGTGTAAGTTTATTGGCTGTCATCCAAGCCGATATTTTGAGCAGCTCCTCGTTAACGATGGTGTTGAGGGTGGCAAAATTAGGGTGGGAGATGACATAAGTCGTGTCGTCAGCAAAGAGAATGGGTTTCAGGTGTTGGGATATGTTTGGAAGATCATTGATGTAAATGAGGAAGAGTAGGGGTCCAAGGACACTTACTGCGGAACTCCAGTATCAAGTGGCCGTGTTGATGAGGCTGTGTCATCAATGGTGACATACTGATACCTATTAGAAAGGTAGGATTTGAAATATGCAAGCGCATGGCCTCTTATACCATAGTGGTCAGGTTTGTGGAGTAGGATGCCGTGGTCATCTGCGTCAAACCCTTTTCTTTGGTCAATAAAAATTCCTAGCAGATATTCCTTATTTTCCAATGCTGTGTAAAGCAGGTCTAGCATTTTTATAATTGCATCATTAGTGCTTTTATTTTTTCTGAATCCAAATTGGCAAGGGTTGAGTATGTTTTGTGATGTTATAAATGAATATAGTCTCCTGTGCACGAGTTTCTCGAAGATTTTGGATAGCAATGGTAAGTTTGATATTGGCCTATAGTTGTTTACGTCTGTGGGGTCACCACCTTTATGTATTGGTGTAACCCTTGCTGTCCCGAGTAGTGTCGGGAAAGTGCTAGTTTCTAGTGACTTGTTAAAAAGTAATGTAATAGCATGTGAAAGGACATGGGCCGCTCGCTTGTACAATAATGGTGGGACGTGAGACAGATTCCCCGAGTTATTTTTAAGTGACTTTATGATCGCGGTGACTTCCGTGGGCTCAGTTGGTACAAGATAGAAGGAATTTGGGAAATTCCCATCTAGGTAGTCCCCGGCACGGGCATTGGTACGTGGGATTTTACTGGCGAGATTTGATCTTATGTTTGAGAAGAAGTCGTTTATCTTGTTAGCTGTATCAGTGGGATGCAGTGGTTCATGAGGTTTAGTTAGAACAATATTCTTGTTTTTTTTTCAGTTTGTTGGTCCCCAGAATCTGGGAAAGTATTTTCCAGGTTTTTTTTATATCTCCTCTTGTGTCAGTGAATCTGCTGGAGTAGTACAGTTGTTTGGCTTTATTAATTTGGTGAGAACTGTTGAATATTGTTTAAGAATATCTTTGTGTATTAAGCCCTGTCTGTATTGCTTTTCATATTGGTGTTTCTTATCAATGGATTTCAGAATGCTGCTGGTTAGCCATGGGCAACCAAGCCGTTTGTACGTGATCTGTTTAGTTTTTATGGGACAATGTTTGTTGTATAGTCTAAGTATTTTGTTAAGAAAAAATGTCTGCCCAAACGTCAATCCATTGGCAGGGGAAAATTCTGTGGGCCCAGTCAACAATCTCTAGGTTGCGGGAAAATTCTTTTGAGGCCTCGTCAGGAGTCTAAATGAACTTTGTTGTATTCGAGTGGGGGCTTAAAATGTTTGTTAAGAGGAAGGTTGGGTAGTGGTCTGTAGTCGTCTGTGATTACCCCTGTTTTAAGGGGGCTAGTATTTTGGTCCATATGTGGTCTTTATGGTTACATTGTCTCAGTACATGCAAAAATTATTTTTTTCCCCCAAAAAGTGTTGGTATCTAAAAAAGGAGAGGAAAATAAAGGATAACGATTTCTTTGCTTTTGGGAAAAATTTTTTTTTTTTTTTTTTTTTTTTTATATATTATTATCACACTGGCCGATTCCCCCCAAGGCAGGGGGCCCGAAAAAGAAAAAATTTCCCATCAAATTATCCAAAAAAAAATTGTCTGATTTCTTCCACCATTCTTTTTAAAATCCAAAGTGTTACTTCCCCCCCCCCCCTCCCCTCTCTCTCTCTCTCTCTCTCTCTCTCTCTCTCTCCTCTCTTTCTTTCTTTTCTTTCTTTTTTTCTTTTTTTTTCTTTCTTTCTTTCTCTTTCTTTCTTTCTTTCTTTCTTTTTTCTCTTTTTTTCTTTCTCTTTCTTTCTCTCTTTCTTTCTCTCTTTTTTCTCTTTTCTTTCTCTCTTTCTTTCTCTCTTTCTTTCTTTCTTTTCTCTCTTTTTTTTTTTTTTTTTTTTTTTTTTTTTTTTTTTTTTTTTTTTTTTTTTTTTTACACGGGGTTTGAAAAGGTTAAGGATCCCTCTTTATTGACAGCTATTTACAGGTTAAGGATTCCTAACTTTATTGACAAAGCAAAGAGCTGTTCCCTACTCAGCTCATTTAAAAAGCATTTTTATTTTATGAGACTAAAGTGGGGAACGGGATGAAGTTGGCCCCATCTGTGGGCCAGCATTTTCTTTTGATCAACTGAGTTATCTCGTTGAATCATTATGCTGTATGAAGGGTGTTCCATACTCGAGTATCCTGGGATGTAAGATCTCAGTGGATGATGTTCTGGAGAAGGGTACACCCAGAGTGAGTTGTGCTTTCTCCCCGTCTTGGGATAAAAGCTTGTTTCACGCTGTCCTGAAGGGACCCAAGTGTGGTTTTTTTGACAATTTTGGGCCTTGTACTAACAGTAAGGCCCCCCAATCCCTCCTATGTTGAGGCTCTGCTGAAATGAAGATCTATCCAGGTGGGCCCGGGCGAGGTGAGAGTTTGCTCTTTTCTTACTCTGTCAAGCGTGCAGTGAGGGGGGGGCAAAAAACCAAAGAAGTGGAGTTACTCAA